TATATATATATAAGTTTTTGTTAAGTGACATTTATAAAGACAATAAACGAGAAAATCTTGTATTTTTCAAGAATACCTGCAAGCTGTACTGGTAGTGCGTGCAATGTATATAAACGGTAAATATTTGCTTAGATTCAGCTATAATCACGCAGAAAAAACTGCTAAAGAAGAAAAACAACGGGTCTAACTTATATATAAATATGTGCGTCAATATACCCTACAAATTGAGAATAGGGATCTAAATCTGAACGTTAAAGGGTGAGCACTGTAAACGAATAAAACGACAGCAACAAATTCTGCTGCTAACCAAGAAACCTACAGACAAACAATGCGGACAAGGAACCCAGATACTAGTATACTCAAACCATTCCAATGGGACTCGGATGAATGTCGCCTTAAAGTTTCTAATAAATAAATCAGACCTTATATAACGATACATACATGCATGTACTCACTGGCTTGCGTTCTTTTCTAAAGTACACATCCCACACAAGCCTGCCTGTGCGTAATAGCTAAAAAATACTCGAATTGAAAATACCTATTGATTTCGAAACAGATGAAACTACGTGTAGATATGTTGTGTGCAGCCACGAAGAAGATCGATCAAATCCGTAGTACTTCCATCGCAAAGCAAATGAGTTGTGTTCGACTCTTGGGTAGATAGGTCGCTGGTTTAATACGAACCCTAAACTAATTATAACGTTAACTTTTCATTCTCATATCAAATGTGTTAAGATTATTACAGTTTTTATATATTTTTTTAAACACTTTTGTTGATGCTGCTCATTTTATAAGTTAAATCACATTCTTGCATATTTCTGTTCTCTACCTCTTCAGTGTTTTTCTAACAAAGTCATAGTAATATCGCATTTTAAAATTCAGGTAGATAAATTTTGACAACACTTATTTTTAACTAGATTAGGAATCATGTCAATTTTATAGAACGTCAATCATGTTAAAATCAAAATCTAATATCTCTAGAAATTTCGTTCCCTATTCTACAGAAAGACCTCGACGTGAAGTGAAGGTTATGGGTGATTCGTTATCGCTAGAAGTCACCAGAAGTGAGCACTTTCATATTGCAACTGCGGTTGAATAGGATAGAGGTGCCTTGTACCTATGCGCCCGAGAGAAGTTATTGATATTTCGCTAAACGGTGTCCATCCGTCCTCCATGTACCTCGCTCATAAAAAAACTATTCTGTAGCGGTGTCGATGGCGCGGAAATAATGTGCTACACCCGAGTAATAACCGCCAAACGAAGATGTTGGAAAGGTGCTAACAGGCGTCAGTTGGTTGTTACAATAGGTACAAACTGCCAAACGTCGCTTTTCTAACAATCTATAGTGCCTTCGGTGCTTGTCAGGCTCCTTTCGAGCACGAACCTTCATTTGTAATGGCATTGTACTCGTTAGTTGTAGCTTTATGAGGTCAACTGTCCTGTTGACGTTAGCCACTTGGCAAAGACTCACCGACACTATCTTTAACGTACCGCTTACCTTATCGTATTAGTAGTGTTTAGGTAAGCTCAAATGCGTATAGGTTGTTTACTAATATAGGCTTAACATCACTCACCGCTTTAGGTTACTGACTTTGTCATGGATATGATCTTATTAAGTTCACATTCGGCGCACATTAGCTTTGTACGCGACTACAAAACTAGCAAATAATTAACACCATGTAAAGATTAGACCTACCAGTTGGAATCAAAGAACGGCTCCGTTAGTTTCAAATTTCAAAGTACTCCACTAAATGATTATCGTCTAATCGCAATATGTTTGCATAATAAAGTTATGGTGTTTGGAAATTATTGAAATCCTTGCGATAATTCTATTTGGAAAGCTTTATATAAACGGGTTTCCTTTTTATCGGCCTAGGCGCAATCTCTATAGAGACCTATAAACATTTTTATTTTAAACGAAGCCATTAATTTATAATATATTCATTTACATGTGGTTAAATGGACGGTATGGTGCTTAAGTGCTCACAGCCCGGACTAAGCGGCATCGAGACCCGCATGTTCGTGACGCCTGCGCAACATCGTTGGCTCCCGAGTGCGTTGAGAGCGAGCCTGAAGCATCTGTAACACCGAAGAGACAGTAGCTTCTAGCGCGACAGCCACCGATTATCACAATAGGACACAATGCATAATATTGGTTCTGTTGCTACCTCGGCAAAATGCTAGTCCTTCATAGAGTGCGAGCGAGAAAGCCTAATGTCTTCCAGCTGAGCAACTCCATTGAGCAGTCGCCTGACGCTACAACGCTGCTCTCTACAGATCTATGCAGAATTCCCTTATGGAGAGGGTGCCTTCTTCGAGAGCGTTCTTCGTCCGCCTTGAAAGGCTCCGTACCTTGCAGTGTTATTGTTACTCAATGGCTAGATAGAATGTCTAACGCACTCTTCGGTCACGGTGGCGTCTCTCCATTTGAAGTTCGCTGAATCGTCGGTTACTCTTCGTTCTACGGAACCCGGCGGCCATACGCACCCGACGGCACCCCGCGCTTCGCTGGCGAAATGCCTGTCTGGAGGACAACGGCAAGCGCGAATAGTACAATGCCGTTGAAGTACACAGGGATATATCAAAGAAAAACGCGTCTCTGAAGATAATGAACAAACTCGAATGCGAACATCTTGCCGCCAAGGTTATCAAAAATGACAACATCAAATTATACGGCTGCTTTTTATTAACGTTGTACAGTTTTACATGAACAGGAAAGAAAAATGACTATGTTGGGTTTAAGATTCTCTAAAAGCTCTCTAAAAAGCATTTGTTTCACCATTTGAAGGTTTGATGTATAATAAGCAACATTGAGAGCGTTCTTGAAGCGGTTGATTGAAATCAATGGATGTTTTCAAATTTGCATGACTTAGTAATGCAGCTAGAGACTATCTTAGAAAGTCTAAGCCTGTTAAAGTCTATCCTAACGACCATGGCATTCACGGACAAACTCGATCCCAGTTCAGCAACGACTTTCCCATGACGGCCAATCCAATACAGACGATCATTAGAAGTTTACAACTTTTCGAATTTCTCAATTGTCGACGCGATACGAGCTCTCTCGGTCCTACTCTCTAGGATATCAGCTCCACTCAGAATTTGATTATTCCGAGAGCCCTCATCCGCTTTCCGTTGCACTTCTGAATTCAACCTGTACAAAATATACATGTTACATTAAAGCCGGCCCTTAATTCTGTGTTCGTAGTGTGCCAAGGGAGCGCTTGCTATCATTTTTAACCCTTAACAGATGGGGTGAGTCGCTATCCACATTGCTTTACATTACCATGAATTGTACATCTTTCTACCAACGACGACGACAATGCTGATGATGGTTAACACTAGAACACTTGCGAGTGTCTGTACCCGTTTGATATGTTTTTGCCTAACAGCGCCGTACGGCAGTTGTAAATCGATGATGCGAGGAGTCACACCGAAGGCTAACATCGTCGCACTTCAAGGGGCACCGGACACATGGCCTCACCACGGGAGATTCGATCGTTAAATGTTTCCGAAATTGTATCGAGTGATGCAGAGATCATTTCAGGCCTCGACGGCGTTAGCGTCTATCTCAGACGTCACGAAGTTGCTCTGCGAGTTTCGGAAAGGCTAAATGAGTGTGAGGTCTCGTGCTCGTGCATTGGAACAGATTCTTTTTTTCCCGATTAAACATTCCGAAACAAAATGTCTCCTTACGCAGATCAATACTAGAAATCAAATGAGAAAAGTTAATTAAACCATTACCATGCCTGATTTATTCAACTAAAGTAAACTATTTTTTATCTTTCGCATTCATTGGCCCTTTGTTATTCCATGGAAGTCGAAATAAAAGTATAGTAAATCGTATATCCGCCTATTGCAAGATAGATAAGCATCTATTAGTTTCAGCGTATCTACCAACAAAAATCTCAATTAGTTTAACCACGCAAAGACATTTTTACCAGTGAAAAAACTGAATAAAAAGGTGTCACCTTAGAAAGCTTTTTGCCGCTGAAGGTCAATGCTCACACGTAACCCCATGATTCAGCTGTTTCGCAATATTTTGAATATAGTATATGCTCGCACGACTCTGTACACGGAACGGTTGTTTGTTATCGTTTATGTAACATTTTGTCTTAGTCGTCATATTCATTTCTATTGTCTGTATTAATATTATTTAGAATTGGTTTTCACGTAATGTGTTAAACACTATACATTTCGTACTGATATTCACTCCCAATTCACTGTACGCAGGCCTCAAAACGCTGTGTTAACCTGAAGGCTCAAAACGGACTCAACTTCGCTAACGAGCGGCACGAATCGATTCGTGGCGGGCATTTGCATTTTCGCTCTGGCATCACTCTGGACATGTTGGGTGCAAGCCTATAGTCACTCACACACACACACACGCCCATGACTATACGTAAAGATCAAAGCATGCACAAGCGGTTTTGATATTCACACCTTCTATGGGGTATTCAAACACCGTGTATAGCCCCAATGAAGACCACCAGGAGCGTGCTTCACACGACCTCATCTCGCCTACCGGGACCGAGATGTGAGTGGAGGTGGATCAACATAAAAGCCCTCTCGATAAACCACAAGCAAATAAAACGTGGCTAATAATAACAACCAACAATGATCGATCCGTTCATCCACAATAAGATGGGTCCATTAAGAGTCTTTCTGTTAAACACAAGGCTTCGATCCGTCTATTGTTGCTGATGGGACTAGTGTCTGGGCTGGATGTACTAATATGTTATAGTTGGTCAATAGACAGAACGTAGCGTATTTGGTTTCATACTTATCCCATTGAAACTTTTTTGATCATAGCAAAAATATATTCTGCCACTAATGTGAGCAGTGGCGGTGTGAAAAGGATGAATTACTGTTAACTTCACTATGCACAACGGCGTTTCCTACGCCGCATAATGCATGCTCTGAATCGGATTAAATTGAACCGTAAATCTACAGTATAATTATAGAATTAATTGCTTGTTTAAAATTTATTATTGTGGAGTTTTAAATGACGGTTACATAGAAAGATGTTTTAACGAACAACTTACGTGAATAAATAAAATTGCCATATGTTTTCTCTAAACCTTCAAGGTAAGATTTGACTGCGACAATTATGGATGAAACAACCAAATGAAAAATAAAACGGTTTTTTTTAGAATTAAACAATCTAACAAATTCAATGGGTGCCGGCAATTTATATTACGTTGGATCTTCGCCGTTTTTAACATCCATTCGAAGTGCCGACCGACTAATTTACTCGAGTAAATCTTTTCTATATTTAGCAATAATCGAAAAACGTCAAAGCCACGATCGTGATATCTTTTTTCTGTTAAAATTAATCATTTGTTGTACTACCCTAATATGCATACACAGTTCAATTTACAATTCTAGTTACAAGGTGTATTTCACAATCGTGAGTTGCAAATCCTGTGAGAACTTTAGAACGGTTTGCTGTTTAAAATTTCAGATACCCGTTACTGTGGATCGTTCTCACACGTCTAGTGATGGTTTCTGTTACCATTTTTGGTGCGTTTTGTGCGTGACACGTTGAATATGCGTCATATTAAAAATTTTTGTAGTGGAATCAGCGATTTGTATGCGGTAATATGTAGCGATGGTTATGACGTCAAGGATTTATAACAATTTGGATAGGGACAACTAGTATAAAAAAAAAAAAGGCCAAAACTACTAGCCGTTATGATTGAGTTGTCATAAGGTTTCGTTATGATCAAGAATGATAGAGCTGTGAAACTGGAAAGACGACTTGTTTTGAACGACGCCGTACAGTTTGCAGACAGTATTTTACGTACAATACTTGTTCATTGTTCAAAGATACAACGTGAGATTATTATTTTAAGTTCTGCCGATTCCTGCCCTTGTGTCTTTGCACACGTCAGTCTCACTCCTCTTCATCGCTTTATTTTGTCGTCGTCTTTTCTCCATTTGGTGTCATTTTAAGATTGTCTTCTTAGCGATGCGTCTTTAAAATGAGCTCGGTCTGACTCGTCGAGTCTACAAGCTTTGGTCAATGATCCTGATGACATGCGCCTGATGCATTGTACCGCAGGACTCATGCCTCCACCTAAGATGCCACGGTTGGCTGAGAATTGAAGGACCAATACAGTTAGTGTTGAAAAGCACCGGTGTTATAGTTTTCGTCCATGGCTTTGTAAGGCGTGAGCATAATCGTCGACACATACAGCGATCCCTCGATGACAGTATTCATATAGAATCTGCTAAGCGCATGTTTACACTGTATTCTACGTGTTCTAGTTTCTCAATAGCATCCTTTCACGCCCGTGTTCTTCATGTTGTCGCAGTTGTTGCAATACAACTATGTATACATGTATTTATCGATCTTCTAAAGGTATAGGTGCATCATCGAAAACCCAAGCGAAAAGGTGAAGGGACACGGTGCCGTCGTTCCTTGTTTAGCAGCCGCAGGTTAGCACTGTTGAGGCAGCTATTATAGTCTGCGCCATGTTGTAGATGCTGTTGTTGTTCGAAGATTGTAATGCAACCAATGCTGGACTAGCCTGGCCATGTCCGTCTAAACAGTCAACAATGATAGGGGGCGGTATGTTTTGCTTGAAGCGAGCCTATTTTCTCAGCTAAATAAAGCGTATAATGCGATTACGGGAGTGATGACGCCCTCGGCGACGAGGTTAACCCGTCAGTGAGTGAGAGGTGGGTAGACAACGATAGAAAAGAAGGCTGTCGCGAACTACTAGCGTAAACGACGTACTACCAATAGTATTAGAATACTGTGCGCGCTTTCCGCACTGCCGCAACCCTGAGGCCGTCTTGTAACCCCCACATTCACACTGACGCACATAGATATTGGCGGCAAAAGAAATGAGCAGTGGTAGTAGATGGCCCCTAGCCATGTACATGTAGACTTTGTATGATCGAACTGTACAACGAGAGTCTACCGTCGATCCAGCTTGGCACAATAGAAGTCGAGGAGGCGGCGTCTACGCAAAGGACATTCTTCTCTCGGAAAGATAGCTTCACTGCCTGCACCGGAGTTCACACCTCGAAAAAGAACTACTACTGCGATGACGCCCCTTTGTTCTGCGTGGACCGATTACAGGAGAGTCCGTTAGCACCAACAGGACAGTCTTTCTATAAACTATTACATCATACATTAACCTAATTCTATACTTACGTCAGAATTGAACTGAATAGACTCAGTTAGGTGCAATCTGTGTTAGGCGTTATAAAAAGAAGGCGTCGCCCGAACCTTCTTGAAGCAGAGGTTCCTCACAGAACGGCCGATGAGAGAGCCTACATGGATGCATATACAAAATATCAAAAAGGGCTAAAGAGCTTGTTTCTAAACAAGTTTTGAGGGATCTTGACAATGAAGTGTTGATGTTGTTGTATCTATGCTTAACCTCCACCAAGCAACTAGTTACAGCGGACTCTCCTCGTTGTCCTCGCGCGTCCTCGATGGCGATGTTATCGTCATCGGTTAGCAGAATTACTGCGACCGTCGCTGTGAACTTGTTGGAGGGTGGAAGGCGGAGACAACTAGGTGCTGGACATTCGTATGTTTCTTGTTGCCCGGTAAGTTACCATGTTATTTGCTGAATGCGATGCGTACCGCAACGTAGTAGCTGCTGGGAGGTCCGAGAGGTTGCCTTTGTTCATAGCTCTTATAAATACGGAAGCTAGGTGCGTAAATAAACCAGAATATGAGAATGGTAAAGAGGGCAGGGGAAACAAGGGGCAGGCGACAATACAATTGAGGCTTGGCTATAAGCTGAGTTGAATACTTCCAAACTGAACTAGTTCGGATTGGGCGTTCAGATATACACACATATTTCATGATTTAGAATTGTTAAATCGAAGTGGAGACTTTACTACATATAGACAAAATTCAATCGAGTTGGAATCAACGGTAGCGCTTTACATTCATGCTAAAGGTGATTTGTGTAAATATAATTGTATAGGATATTCAGGGTTTTGGACGTATTGAAACAAGGGCTGAAAGGCAGATTTATCAGCGTCCATTTCTTGAAAAATTTGTGTATAGAATTAAAAAATTCTGCAGTCTCAAAAATAAATTACAACACGTTAAATTTACCAAAATCCTCCTCAGGTACACAAAAAAGCTTACAATAAGGCTATACTACACACAACGCGAAAGTCTTCTTGCATCCACAATTAAACCATGACTGTAAACTCTAGAGGAGATCTAATGGCTGACTATCATCTAATTATAAATGGAGACCGTGTGCTCTTTTTTAGCGGACAATTTTTACATTGAGCGGATCTTGCGAGCTGTGAGATGAAGTTTTTGAAATACACATATATGGCGAAGTTTTCATAAGCTAAAATATCATCTAGACGGAACCTATTTTTTAGATTTGTTTCACACACTACCTAAGGTATACGGGCGTTTACAAGCAGCGTTAAAGACATGCAGCTCGGTCCGGTGAGATTGATTGAACTACCACGTGTAAAAAGCACGTTGATTATGCTTATCCAAATCAAGTATTGGTTCCTTTGAGGTTTGTATTGCCACATCTTTGTATTATGGATAAAGTAACAACGTGTTTGTTACTTAATCATGGTATCGATTGTTGGTAAGGCTGTGGTGAAGGGTGGTTAAGACATCGAAGTAGCAACCATCTATTTAGGCGAGTCTCAATGAGTTCTTTAAAAAAAAACTCAAGTTATAAGGTTAACTCCTCACACACTAGCGCGTGACTAGCGTGGGTATTATTATACTGTTTAAGTTCAATAATTATTTCGAAATGATCCCCATTGCATTGAGGATAGTAAGCCTTTAGCGACGTATCGGTGCTGGGTTAATTCAACTATGTGAGAAAAGAAAACATTATTTATTTAATATTGTATTACTGTATGTAATGCACGAGCATACCTGCACGTTACGGGCTTTTACCAAAAATAAGTCCATCCGTGTAATTAAGCCTACCTTATTGGATATGACGCTTCTGTGAGTGCAAAAGATACGGCTGTAACTACAATTTATTCCCTGTTTGTGGTCTTGAAATGTGTTAGTGGTTTCTGTAGGTTCTGCACTCTTGTTATGATATATTGGTGCAGTGTTCATTCAGTGATGTAATGGACCATTGATATGCAAAACTTATTCACAGAAAACTATAAGAAGGACCTCAAAAGCTGCTCCGCTTGGTGTTAATGGGCTAGCAGGATAGTACCCATACATCGTTGACATATTGCTGCTCGGACAGACGGTCACTCCCTACCAGCCGCACCACATTCACGAATACGCAACTACAACATCCATCCTAAAATTTGATATCGCAACCTTTTTACTAACACCCCCAATTCCGTCTATAGTCAGCAGTTTCTATATCGCAGGCACATACGCCACCCACCATAGCGTGAGCAGCCACAAGCCAGGTGGACCTTCTGGGATGGGTTGGTTGTGGGTTAAATAATGAGCCTCAAGGTGCTTGTGTGAGACATAAAGGTTATTACGCAAGCAGCAGCCGTAGAGGACATCAACCTGGTAACCCAGGCTCATTTCGGAAGGCCACCGACCTCTTATCTGCGCCTGATCTTGAGCTGAGGACCAATATGACACTGAAACCTGAAGGCGAAGTAAGGCAGACGCGTGTCGTTAGCGCATACATGTAAGCAAAGATACTCAAAACGCAAAGCAATTCCTTATGGATTATGAGGTGAGCGGCCCTAAAATGATCCTCTACAGCGGCGTATGTTTTCTACTGTTTGAGCCGTTTTCACCACGATCGTCGTACCTGCATATGGCGGATGGCATTAATTCGTTGAACGAATGGCAGTTATGGCAATTTCTTTAAATGTCACGCTGGTTGGTGACTACGGCGGTAGTAAAGCCGGTTTCTTGAGCTCGTTTGGCATAAGGCGCTGGTTCGAATTTAGAGTTTTGTGCGAGAGGTTTATTTGGAAGTAAGCTGTGATGGATAAATGGAAAATTATAAATTGAGAAGCTATTCTCTATAATGCCGAGGACACATGGAGGCTGCGCATCGACTAGGCCGGGTGCACGTATCGCACGGCGTTCGTGGTACTAAAGCCCGAAAGGCGCCAAAGCCGGAAAGAAATGAAGCACACTAGAATGACTACCAGCCTAGAAAATACATTACGTTCATTCTCTTCAAGTGCTCTTACTTATTTCGTCGATTCTTACTATAATGTGATGTTTGGTACTGTATTTGAAACGTATGTATTCCACATGTTTTGTAATATTTTTTTATTTCTTTTTATTATCAACTAAAGCGTTCCTTTAGATGATTTTTGGGTATTTGGGCAGTCTCGGTTATGTCTTATTACGAGCATGTTGTCAATATGGCCTTCACACTATAGCACTAGTCACTATAACCTCATGAAAGCTACTAACAATTAGTTTTTAATGCTTGTTAATCCAATGTAGTTCACACATTTTAGCAATGTGTCTCAATTTGTGTCTTAATTAAAATCTTTCACCTTTATTCGAACAAAGAGAATCGAACAAATGGTCCTTGATGCTATCTATCTACGGTGGCGTATAATTAATTCATCCGACTGATGGACGCTAAGGCCTTCAATTTGTTTTTGTGTGTGCCAATTATTAAGTAAATAACCGCAGTCACTAAATAACATCAAAGCGAATGTATATATATATATATGTATATAAGACTGATTAAATTTAGATGTGTAAGTATAAGTCAGGTATCATACAGTATTAAACTAATGCATACAGCACACTGCGTCTGGGCTAGAATGCTATTTGTGACACGAAACGAACGTCTTCGCCTGACGTTGTGAAAAGTTCGATAGCCGACCATTGTTTCACAGAAAGCATAGCTTTTTTTTACCTAGCAGGCTATCTACGACCCAATACCACAGATCGTAGCTGTTTATACCCGCGCACATGTGCCATTACGCTATTGTCACGGTAACATTGCATTTCTGCACGCTACCTGTATGACTCGAGATCGTCACGTACTGTCTTAAGCTAGATATTCGAAGTAAATTTCTTCAAAGCTGACACGCGGATGTGCACAGTAGTGATGGTCGTTGTAGCTGGTCCGATAAACCAAACTTTAGTACGAAATTTCAAGGGCTACTCGTAAATGTATAACAACCCGAGGGAGTTGTACCACCTGTAGTAGGATGAAGACGCACTAGCTGGGAAGGACATGTTCACACATCTTGAAAATATAGCATTTTATAGAAGCTTGGAGACATTCTATGATCGAAACATTATACTAAACCACTCGACCTAACATGACAAAAGAAACGACATAATTTGGATGGAATAATCGTCAACGTTAGCTGTCGGATCGTGTTGGTGATGACAACTTCGAACCTGCTTTAGGCTGTTGACTGATCCTTGTTGTGATCCGGCCAACAGCGTAATCATAAACGACAACTTCTAATTGTCCAAAGCCAGCTATCCAACTCAACTTCTTGCTAGCCTTCTGTCTGCATCTGCCTGGAAGCGACACGTGCTTTGCGCATTTTCATCATCATGTCTAAACCTTCTTAGTTTCAATCATCCGAGATGGATGGTAGCGTATGGCCCGCTATATTTTGCCCAGTTTAGCTAATCGTTGAATTAACTTGTAGCTCAAACAGAAGTTTGTCGATAAAAAGCCCAAGTAATTCACTAGAAATAAGAGAGATTAGGCAATATAAATAAATCGTGGAGCGTTTCGTTCGTATGGATTTCACGTCGCCGGACGATGGGAAGAATCATTTAGCAGGCAGCGAACAAGACAGTCACGCGGCATCGAGTTTGGCGGCAAATGTATCAGATAGACGACGTTTACCGAACGAGTGCATCGATAGCGCTGTCTGCGGGAGCCGAGTGGGTAGGAGATTGGATCCCGCTTCAGAGTGGCGGTACACGAGCCATGGATTAGTTCCTTCAGCAACTTCACGCTACCCGTTCTCCTGACTTAGTTCTCACTGTTTAGAATTTTCGCTCTCTCCTTTTATACATTTTTCCCACCTATCAACACCCACCAGCGCACACATCCGCCCACTAACATCACTTAGACACTTGAATACGCGTGCATAGGTGAAGACAACTGATGGCTTAATTCTCAACACGGGGGAAGCAAATCTGGTTCTACTGCCGCTGGGAACTCGGGGCCTCACCGTATTTCACGCACCTAGGTGGCGTACACTAGAGTTAATGCTATTGCTAAAGTCACAAATGTCAGATCAGATTATCCTCCGCTCGGTCAGGATGCCTAGGTAAGATATAATTCTTAAGACAGTTTTGTTAGGAGTTTTATAAATGTTTATGTGACCCAGATAGATCATATTGTTAGGTTTCGTTTATTTAAATAAAGACGAGTAAAAAAGTGGTTTTAGAGAAAAAGCTTACATAAAATGCGGCACATATATATATAAATATAGAGATAGCTCAGTGTGTAACGTATTCTGGTACGTCTAGGTTCGAATTCGGACATAGATACACTTCGTTTCGTGCTAGGAATTAGCCATCTGATTTCTCGTCTTTTTACGTCTGATTTTAAGCTTAGTTAAGTGATTAAGTAATATTACGTCTAAGCCGGACCTAAAACATGAAGCATATCGACATAGAGTGTTATAGCAATGGATTAACATAAGCACTTGATGAATAGTTGTTCTTATGGCGTAACCTTCGATTTGAGGAAGTATATATATATATATATATATATATATATATATATATATATATATGTAATTACAGGAACAGACTAAAACTAGCTAGACTTTTGTTTTCAGAACACATGTATTCTGCCTATTTATGTACAGTTCTTATTATTTTTATTATATCTAATTATCTGTTTTAAGAGATGTATGTATACGTAGCTTATGTATACGTGAGCGCTCTTATCGCGCAGAGATTGCTTTTACGGTATAAGATACACCAGAATGCATTGCATAATTTTTTGCGCTGTCCCTTACCTATTATCTTTCGTTCTGTTTTCCCAAACGATATCGAGAACTTGCACTACACTATTTTAAACTAGACGCGGCTTGTCTGCTTTTGGACTCTTCGAACTCATTTCATCCTCTCCACTAACCTAACCTCCTCTCCTCTTCTCGGCCGCTGATACCTTAAAAGTTTCGCTACCACTAGTTCGAAAGGTACGCTACACTTCTCGCAGCCTTTGTAGTTTAATCTTGGATACGCAAATTTCAGTACCAGTTACGATGAGCCTTCTCGAAGATCGAATCTCCCCTGTACGCTGCGCGTCCGACGCATCGAGTGGTCTAAATAGCGCAGACGAACGTCTGGTCCCGCAGCTCCAACAGCGCCATACTTCTCGGTTTGCAGCTATGGCCAGCGAAGGCAAGACCAAGGTTCAACGCACGCGTCGCATACGGGCCAATGACCGTGAACGCAACAGGATGCACAACCTCAACGACGCCCTCGACCGACTACGTCAGGTTTTGCCAGCTTCGACACACGAGTCCAAACTGACAAAGATCGAAACCCTTCGCTTCGCCCACAACTACATCTACGCACTGGCGGAAACCCTGGCGATGCTTGACGGTAGATCGGATCACTTCGATCCGATTCTTGCAGCGGTCGCACTGCAAGGCTCACAAAGCAGCACCTGTGATCCTACACTGAAACACGCGATTAGGCGAAAAATCGCCCGTACGCTCAACTTACGTGACACACGCCTAGCGAACCTCAAGGACGATAATGATGGTAGTGATAATATATCATCGTTCCTTCACGATTTAGCCGGAAGCTTGGTAGATAATGCCACATCGAGTCCATATGAGGAGCGTCCAGTTAGCGTCGACAACTTCGAAGATCAGAGCTCTCCACCTGTTGCTTTCCGATCTGATTCACAATTTCATAGTCCACAGGCGAGCAGTAACGTTAGCAAAAATAACACCTACAACATGTTATGTGAGCCGGCTCTGCAAATCTAGTGTATTTTTTTAACAAACAAAACAGAGCAGTAATATAAGTAACAGAAATGTGCAATAAGGTCTCGGTTATAGTGAACTTGTAATGTAAACCAACTGCAACGTCTAAAGAAACATTGTAATCTCGAAATAAGCCAGATCAACTCGATTATTTGTCATTTTAGTCTTGTGTTATTAACTAGAATTGAGCAGAACCTTTCGAAAGAACGAAGCCACTTTTTGAATATGTGCCTATATATGTATCGCTACATGAGGATATGCAGAATATAGATGACGCAAACGAAATACACTATAAAAGTTAAATATTTAATTTAAATTAAAGTGCGCCTCATCATTTAGTTAATGGTATATATCGGAAGAACGTGATTCGATTTATATTCTGCTACCAACGAAGACAAGTGAAGTTTTTTTTTCCCATTTGTTATATATAGACCCATTTGTCTTTGTATAGACCCATTATGTCGGGTGGCTGGATGTGAGCTGGCTTTCACCAAACTCACTATACTTTCGAGGAATATTTTAATGATAAGAGTTGTTTTACCAGCAATCGATAGGACCTAATATGGTAGATGATAGTGTGTCTATCTCAATTAGCCTTTCGTCTGCTAATTTAATACAAAATAGTTTAATTAATGCTTGCCTTTCATGGTCACGATTACAGATATTTACATGGTAACAAATTTTTCCAGTGTTAGCCTTTAGTGGCGGCAATTATTATCACTGTGGAAAACGCTGCCTGCACGCCGATCGGGACTACGAATACAAAATTGGATTTTCAATTTTGAAAGCGCCGGCGTAATACTGCTGTAAAACGATTAACTTAAAAAATCTCTATAATGAAAAGTTTCTCTAATCAGCTCATCAGGAATCAGGAACACTTCACGTTATCTAGCACCATTTTGAGAGCATGTCAGCTTCATAGGAAACACTATCGTCCGTGTGAGAAATATATGAAGTATACAATAAGCTGGCTTTAGCCAGTACATAATATCTAACCCTCAAAAATGAACTGAAGTAAAACTTATCTAAGACAGAAAATACAGAATGAAACGAGTTAGTTGCATCGAAATGTTTGAGCATTTATTCGGGATACAGACTATGATTGTTATAAGTTAAACGCTATATACATTTTTCACTGGGTGTCTCCGTTCTCGTGTGATGCTTCAGTTTATTCCGTCATAGCCGAAATCAGCTCACTGGGTTACTGCCGAAGTCTATTGCACACTCCTGAGATGATGTTACACGTCTAGTTCCAAGTAGGAACTTGATATCAGGCGTAAACTTTATGAGTGGAACGTTGCTGGAACAAGATCCAGATCTCCTAGGAGAATTACATCGGTGACTTTGTTCGTTTCCTGAAGGAGTTGCGTCTGCGAGGAGTACGAAAACGAGACTGGTGAAGACCGATCCTCGAAGCTCACTGGGCTTGCAGGTAGGCTGCCGCTGGCCGTATTCCCAGAACCGGACATTAACGCAATAGGCGAAGTATTGGATGTAGAACAAGAGAGCTCGTTCTCTTCTTGCAACTGGAGACGTGCGTCGTTCAGGTTGAGGGTTTTAGCTATCTGCTTCCGGATAGTGTGTTTAAGACTCGGGTCACAGGTGCGCGTTTGAGAGCCTTGCAGAGCAACGGCAGCCAGCACAGGGTCAAACCGCTCCGATCTTCCGTCCAGCATTGCCAGCGTCTCAGCCAGAGCGTAGATGTAGTTGTGGGCAAACCTCAATGTTTCAATTTTGGTTAGCTTTGTTTCGTCGCTGGAGGAAGGTAACGCACAGCGTAAGCGATCCAATGCGTCATTCAAATTGTGCATTCGGTTGCGTTCACGGTCGTTAGCTCGTAGACGACGGGTCTTTTGCACTTTTGCTCTGACAGCTCCAAGTTGTATATCGAGTGCATTGTCGCTGCATCTTTTCCGTGGCATTCGGGCCGCCTGTTCCTCATCAGTACTGTTGTAAACTGAGTTATTGGAACAGTCAAATGAGACGCAGGTAGCAGGTGGCGTGTTGCACGTCATGATCGCAGTTCAACTAGGTAAAAAGTAGATATCCAGAAGCAGGATCGATAGGTCGTTCATAAACGAGTTGGCTTCGAAGGTCAACTGATCAACTTATCTAACCTGGCACGGGGGCCCCAGCTCTTTTTAAAACTCACCCTGAGAGAGGAGGCGACGACTCTGTGGAGAGGAGATCTTCAGGTAGTGTCGGGCACCGTGCTGGCTTGCGGACAAGCTCAAGCCATAAAGTATAAAGGCGTGCGGAGTATAATGAACGGGGGGTCATAGAGGGGCTGGCGCATTGTATGTGCATACAATGAACGCGAAATAGAAAGAGACCGGTGAGGAGCGGTCGATGAGGACCGAAGGATTCGTCAGACCGAACGCGGCAACTGCCCGCCGCCGTCGATTTATAGTGCAAGACACTACCAGGGGTAGCTGGGACATATCCTCCAAAAGAGAACCGGATCAACCGGGGGATCGCTGTGCTGGCGGACACTCAGACTGCGTAGTTTGCCGCTACAATGTCGTATCCGACCCGCTGTTCGTTGACTTTATTTGTCACGGTTCGACTTGCCTATAGTGAATAGTCATGTTATTAACGATAATGCTGTCCAAGTTTTTGGCGACATAAAAGTTCCGCGCAATATTCGGTAGACACCACCTCTTTGTTTTATTTTGTATTGACTAGTAGGTAGTGAACGTAACAGAAATGTTTGCTTTTTTGAACGTAGTATAGTTTTTCGGTAGATGATTCATAAAGCTGCCGAATATTCACTCCAGTCTGAATGTCAAAGAAATAAGGGCTTAGACTACGAGATGAGAGATGATCTGTCCTGACCTCGCTGTAGCATAAATGTCCGTGCGTTAGTAAAGGATTCGCAGCAGCCACAGCTGTCGATTTCGACACATTTATTTGCCCATAAATCGTTAGGACTTTTTTATTATCGCTTTAGGATTAAGAACGAACCCGCAATAGCCAGAACGACCGAGTAAGCCTATTTTTCACCATATCATTCACTGCCTATTTTTTCTATTTGTATTGAAATATGAAAAATTTTAAAATCACCATTTTAAGATATGCGCTTTGGAAACCGCTGAAAAAAACTATTCTCAGTCTCAACGAACTAAAGGTTTAACCCGCGCTCTAAAAAACTTTCCTTGATGTTAAAGTTAACCTTAGACCATTTGTTTCCTCAGCTTACTATAAATTTATAAATTCGTGTAAGCAACTGTTGATCGGAACCTTTCCCCATCTATACCGTGGAAAGGTACATGAGAGGTTTGTAATTTTCCAGCCTTTTATTAAACCATCGCAACTGGTAAAAGAAGTTAGGATACGGTGATCTGTCTCCCATAGCGTTCAGGTTATGATGCATATATATCCGTTCATTCATAGCTGCAGACCCAATCTGCGATACTTCGCAGCATGATGTGCCGATCTCGACTGACTTGTGACTTACCAGATAAAATAGTAACAGAAAATCCTCTTTCTTAACTCAATACAGAGAGCGCTAAAACCAGTAAGAGAGCAAACAGAAGTCTAATCACTCCAGACTCGCTTAGAGTGCAGGATTCCACTCAAATCATTTGTACAACAGCAATTTTGATTGGGCACCCGAAAGCTTGTTTCTATTGTGGGCTCTACTTTTTAGTGAAGTGGGCTGCAATCGGCAGTTGCTATTGCGCGGGCATTAGGCTCGTTGTTGTACAAATCGACGCTGAACGGCGTTTCGTTGTAGTTGCGGCCTCACCCCCTTTTTAGCGTTGTACCTAGGCTGCACCCGCAGGAATGACGACGACAACGACGGCTTTGAAAAGCCACACGAAGTCAGAAAGGGAGCACTAGTAAACCGAGATACAAGATACGAGATAATGATAAGATTCGATGCCCATTTTTAGTTGTATTTTTTGTGAGTGGGTACAAGTAGTACGTGTAGTTGGGGGTAACAAAGCCAAGAGTGCAAACAAGATGTTATCGTCTCATGCCGAGTCCACTGATGAGGTGCATTGTAAATAGTTGAATACGGTAGAAACTGGACATCTCTAGGTAAGGATCACGCGACTGTCACAACAACAATGATGGGTCGAAGGTGTTATGTGATAGTACTTCGAGTGATGTGCATATGCTGCCAAGAGAAGAAGCAGACTTTGCCCTAGGGCGCTGATAATAATAACACTAGTAATGATAATAATAATAGCATATTTTCTTTAATTACTCACACCGGTCATGTAGTGTATGTCACTGACAAAAATCTAGATTAACGAATCGCGGCTTTCTTAGCCAGAAGTCTAGCCGTCATAGTGTAGAATACTGTTTGATTTAAGTGACGTTTAGAGACCACTTAGAGCATATTGCTGGTGAAAGATCTTAGGTCCGGCAAAAGTAACGTGGCAGAAAAACGCAATGTGTACAGATTCGTTTCTGTGAGTCAACTATGTGAGAATCAGAAATCATGCCGACCATACCTGACGCAAGAACGAAATCGCACCAAACTCCCGTGGAAGGCTGTTGGTTTATTAATATAAACATCTTTCATACATGATTAGGCCAACAATGTAATGGTATTTATACAGGTTTTGTCTATTTTAGTCGACTTAGATTTTTATACGACTATTATAAATGGCCTTAAGCATGTTTTCTGGATCGAATTTAGCTAGATACGTTTGTTTGTTATTGGAAACTTTTTTATTTTAACAAATCAAGCTATATACCTGTAAGTAGTCGCTAGGTGGATTTCTTGAAAATAGTTTCTAGAATATCGTTGTTCTATTTTTGTTCTTTGTTGAGACTTATCTTTGAGTTTGAAAATTAAACAAAGCAAAAAAGAGGAGACCGAAATGTCAGTCTTCTATCGATATGGAGCCATTTTTTTTTTTTTTTCAAAAAAATCATATTCGTCATAACGCATGCATGTCATATGCATGTTTGTGTACGCTCATTCGTGCAAAAAGTACGATTTGATTTCAGTGATCGTGCACAGCGTTGTAGCACTCGGACAATACGTATAATGTAACGGAAAACAATCTAGCATCAGATCATCTCGAGTCAGATGAAGCCATCCGGGCCCACTGTGGTGACACAGATGCGAGCTAGCGAAAAAAACAGAAAGTCAACGTAACAACGTTTGGTAGCAACGAGATTGATGTTAATAGGCTATATTTGATTGCAATCCTATTATTTCGTAAGCTGGTCATACGGTTAAAGGTAGCTTTAGGAGAGCCTGCTAATATTAGGAAAGCATTTCAGTAAAGCAAGCTTTAGGACAAATATGATATATGTATTTTTGCAGAGTGTCGTCCTATTTACATGCCGACGAGATCATCAGAGCAACAAGATCCAATAGTTGATGTGATGCCAAATAGTGAACAGACACGTGCATGCAATATAAAGCGCTGCTACCTCGGTTTGCTGCGACCGTTCAAGATAAAGATGTTATCTAATGAGATAGACTTCTATTCGTATTGCTGAACCGTTCGTACATCTTCAATTTGAAGACGTTATAAATAATGAAACCTTTATGTTTTGAGTTCTATATCCGGTATAGCCATTAGGTAGTTCACTAGACAGGCAACTGGTTCCCAGCACGAAACAAAGTCTGTTTTAGTACGGATTTGAACCTTCACCACAACGTACTCCTAGGATTAACAGGCTAGTAGTATTCGACTGTATCAACGGTCCTTTCTAATATGATAATATAAATAATTACAAACAGTCAGTCTCGAAATTTCCCTCTTGAATTTCATTGGCCAAAATGACTAAGCCTAGGGATAAACTAGAAGAAGGCTACCCTATTGTAGAGCTTTACCTGATGCTTAAAAATAGAAGTAGTACACGTACTGCAGTCTACATCCCATAGTGATAATTTTTAGAAATTTGTTGATCTCTTAAATAGTGCAATTATACCGTGTATGTATAAACAACTTTGGCCTATAAAAATCTGAATATGATAAATTTTTACTGTTCGCATTTAAAAGAATAGACAATCTAGGTGGGCTTAACAGCTCTGGAGTTTTATAGGTAAAAAAAATATGCCCGTTGTATTCTACGTAGAGCGTATGATTCAAAACTGTACATTTATGCAGTTATCCACGGGATAGCTACCGAGAGCTACGAGTAGGGTACCTATAGAGATGTTTCAAGACATAAACATACAAGTATGTCGCCCAATTTTTTATAAGTTTTTGCTGAATTGGCTTATTCCTATACCTCTCATGTATTTACAGTAGGATACCTATACTACTCTTTGTTAAACTAATTCGGTGTGGCTTGGTAGATAAATAGACTTATCCCATAAAATGGGAACGAATGGTCCTAAAATAACTGGGCACAATATCTATCGACAGCATCAATTGCTGTCACACATCGTATGTATAACATCAGTTTTAATTTGCGGACTCTCTCCACTGAGTTGAAGGTTTCTAAACATTTTTTTAAATGAAGAGAATCTGACAGAATCCGACTGCGTTAAGAATATCTGATCAGATTTTGTAGATTCTATCATTTAACTGGCATCACGCTGTCTGTTGCAGTTACTAATTCCCCGAAGTGGCCAGAGTGTCGCACCAGCTATCGAGAACGCCATCCGAAAAGTTAATACCAGTACGTTCGTATGCCTCTGTTCGTCTACTTATAATAATAATGACTTCAAAATACGTATCAGTTAACGTAATTCTAACGGGACAAACAGACGAAGAAGTGCTGGACGAGGAGTTTATCCTACAATAAATAATTTGCTCTAGATACTCGTGGGTAAGTGTCGTATACCTGAGATACTATATAAAATTTGTAAGGTAAACGACAATAAGGACGATTTCTCAGATTTCATTACAACAGTTTAGCCTTAGCGTTTAGCTTTTTGCAAACTATAATATTATAGTTCTTGGGACATACAATCGTCCGACTTAATCCCTAAGCGCGCTTGCGGTCATTCGAATTCATGCAGTCCTGCATGAGAATATCTGCCCGACAGAACAACACTTTTTGTATATCTTTGTTTGCTTTCATTTCAAACATGCCT